GAACAAATTTCTGTTGTTTGAAGCCACCAGGTTTGTGGTAGTTTGTTATGGCAGGCTTGGGAACCAACACAGTGTCTGAGCTGAGTCCTAAAGGAAGTGTCGGAGTCTTGCCCTCATTCTCCCATCCTTTCCCTGTTTGAACACATCTGGTTGGGAAAACTCCATCGGTCTGTGAGGTTGGTGACAGCAGGAGCCTCATTCACCCCCTTGTTCACTCCATGACCCCCATATTTACCACTGTGCTTGGCACGTAGGGGTCTCTGGTCAGTATTTGTTGCATGCATAACAGTCTATGAGTGAATGAATGAAGAAGACAAGAGTGCTCTCAGAGGAGGACCAGTTAGCAAGATGCAGGAATCAGATCCTCAGGTGTGAGAAGCCATGGCAGCCAGAGGGGAGAGGCTGTTCAGGGTTGTCTGAGTCATTTGCTCTTCCTTGGTCAAAGTGGGCTCTTAGGGAAGTTTTTCATCGGGGTCATGCAGACTAGCCAGTAATGAGGACAGGAGCAGGACCAAATAGGGAAGAAGAGAAAGGAACTTCGCCGTGTTCACTGCCCACTCAATGTCAGACACTGTACTGTTAACGGTCTTCATCTTTCTTGTCATTCTCCAAGTAATCCCTCAGGTAGGTAAAAATGCACGCATTTTCCAGATGTGGAAACTGAAGCTCAGAGAGTCGAAGTAACCTGTCAAAAGTTGCACTGCCAGTGAGGGGCAGAACCCGAATCCAAGCCCAGGTCTCATTTGCTCCCATGTTTGTGTTCTCTGCAGCACAACATGCTGCTTCCACTAATAACAATTGTTGGCAAGGGAAGGTCATCGGGGGTCCCTGAAGCTGGGAAAGGATTTAATGCTTTCCAAGTCCAGATGACTGGAGAGGGGGGATTCTCTGAAAAATGATCCAAGAGGACAGAAGGCATGCAGAGAGTTCTGGGGACCTGGATCATCTGAAGGCCATCAGCTGTCCCCTTTTGAATAGTGTTCTTGGGGTAAAAATCAGTGTCATTTTCTTCCCCACCATATTACATACTACTCTAGCCTATGTTTTTCATTCTGCAATAATAATGTTCAAAGCTTAGACACCATCGGGGGTCCTCCCTGACTTAAAGCTCAATGCGTTTGATAATTAAGCCCTTGTTCTCACCCAGAGCAGCATGGACACCCCAGTGGTGTTTAGGACCCGTTCGTTTGTGCAGCCGCTCATTCATTCCACAACTATGTCAGCATTGTCTGTGTGCCAAGTGCTGATTGAATTTGGCCCGGGGTTTCTAGGGCACTGAGAGCCTGTCTTTGCCTCCATGAAGAGCTCCCCTTTCAGTTCCATTTGCCAGGTCTCTATGGTGCTGCAACGTGAAAGGAGCTGGAATAAAGGGGGGGAAGGGAGGAGGGTAGAAAGGTTGGAAAGGGCTCCATGGAGGAGATGGAGGCCAAGTAAGGGTTCCGTAGGTGGCGCTGGGGAAGGCATCATAGCAGGAGAAGTAGCATGTGCAAAGGCATGGGGCATGTTGGAGCTGGGTGGGGAGGGTGGTGTCAGACATCCTGAGAACGTGTTTGAATAAAGCTAGTTACAGCCCTTGCCTCTGGGACATTACAGATTTTTGTTGTAGGTGGCAAAGGTAAATTCAGTCTACCTCGGGACTTTGGTTTTAAGATGTGGATACTTGGGACTTGCTCTTGTTTACCAGACACAATGGATGCAGAAGAGGACGAAGCAGGATCTTAAGGAGACCTCCTGGAGGGGAGACTGGTCGGCGTTCACCTTCGAAGCCACCACTGCTCCTGGGGCGAGAGTCAGGGAGGGTTTGCATGGGGCCAGGATGCCAGCAACTCTCTCCTGCTGGGGCCATGTAGCTCTGCCAGGGGACAGCCAGTGCAGCGTCTGCTGACCATGTCCTGGTCAGTGCATGGCTGGGTGCACTGTGGCCTCAGCACAGCAGACCTTCTTCCAAGATACCTGCTGGGAGTTAGGGCTGGGAGGGGCATGTTTCAGTGCTGAAGCTAGCAGCCCCTCCAGCGCTCCACTTACCACTCCCCTGCTGCAGTTGCTTTCCTCTGATGCTGTTTTCTCTGCTGGCCCCCCTCCTGCTCACTGGGTTGTGTTGGGACAGGGTGTTTGGTATTTTTGTTAATGTTTTCTTGCTTAGCACTCAGCTCTGCTTCATTTTCCCCCCTTCCCTTGTTGCCTGTTGAGATGATCAGTCAGGCTAGTTGACATTTTTCTACTTAAAATGTTTCAATTTAACTGCTGCTGGCTAAATATATTTTGGCCTCAGCTCTGGACTGTGACTCTCCCCTCAGCCAGTGAGACCGAGGACACTTTGTGCCAAACCCTTCTCTCTCTTTCGTTGGACTGAGATTATCCTCAGCAGATTGGAAAGGATCCCTCGTGTCCTGAGGGTCGTTGTGCAGCCCAGTTCAGATATGGGCTTTGGCCCTCAGGATGCCCAGGTGTGTGAATGCACCTGTCACAGATGCATCTGATTCGATGCACGAGCTGGCCTGCCGTGTGTGTCCGAACGTGTTTGGCTCTGGTGCCATCTTTCTTTCTAAATCCCAGCAGACAATTTACATAGTTCTTCTGCGCCCCAGGGAGACTTGGACAGGTTCTGAGTAGCCACAAACTCTGGCAGCTTACTGAGACGAAGGGAAAAGAAAGTCAAGGCATTAGCAAGTCTCTGTGACAGAAGGACTATTGGAGGCCACAGGAGGGGTTTATAGATGGCAAGACTCCCAGGCAAATAGTGCCCTCTGGACAAAGCCCTTTACCCTGCAGGCTTGACCGAGGTAGGCCGTGCCAACCAGACTCGCCAGACTCAGTTCAAGAGGGGAAAAGGGAGGGAAAGAGGGAAGGACGGACTGCCCTCCTTAGCAGAGGGCCTGAGGGGGCGTAAACTAGTGCCTACACACACCTACCTCTGAGTTTGAGATGGAGGTCCCAGAGACAGCGTTGATTCAGCTTCCACGTTCATTTACTAATTCTTTCATCCACTCATCATACGTTTATTGAGGATCTGCGATCCATGTGGCTGACACTGAGCCCAGCTCCGACTCTGGGAATGCAGAGGAAAACAGGACAGATGTAAGACTCTAGAGGGGAAAACGATGATCAAGTCATCACAAATAGGGTGAGGGTCTCAAAGGGGACATATAGGAGAGCTGACCCAGGCTGGGGTGGCAGGGGGCATGGAGGGCCTCCTTGATGCAGTGACTTTTAAAATCTGGAGTGTCAGGTATAAATTGAAATTACGTTAGGTGAAGAGGTGAGAGAGGTGTGTATCAGGCAGGGGCAAGAGCAAGTGCAAAGGCCCTGTGGCAAGAGAGAGGAGGGGGACTAATAAAGGATGACTGAAGCAGAGATGACTGCGGGTGTGGGAGAGTGGGGAAGAGGAGTAGCAACAGGTAAGGGCAGAGAGATAGGCAGGTGCTGGGTCATGGAAGGCCCTAGAGGCTAGACGGAGGATTGGGGGCTTCGGGCAGATGTCTCTGGAAGACTCAACATTATTTTAAGCAGGAAAGTAACACGATCAGGTCCGTGTTTTAAAAAGAATACCTGTTATTTAAGGAAGGATCAGAGGGACAGGAGTGGAAGTGGCGAGTCTATTAGGAGGCTGGTAGGAGGCAAGGATGGCTGCACTCAGAGAAGCAGCAATGAAGACAGAGGCACTGGAGGTGTTCGTGGTCTATTTCAGGGGTGTTGCGGACAGGAGCTGTTGATGGATCAGATGAGGGCCATCAGCAGGACTTGAGGGAGTGAGCCACGTGGTTATGAACTGGGGCCAGCGTTTTCAGGTGGAGGGCACAGCAAGGGTGGAAACAGAAAGTGGAGACTTGCTGGGAATTGTGAGCTGGAGGCTAATGCTGAGGGAGGGGGGTACACGGTGGGAGATGCGGCCAGCAGCCGAGAGCGGAGAGGTGGCAGGGCCGGTGGGTGAGCGAGCTTGCAGTTCCCTGCAGGTGGTCTGAGACAGCGGGGAAGGCTTTGGAGGGAACAGGGGAATGACCTATGCTGACTTACTTTTTATATGTGTGAAAGATCACACAGCCTGCCACGTTGAGAAGAGGTTCAGGGGCAAAGGTGGAAGCGGATAGACCAGTGAAGAAATGATGGTGATAAGTCCAGCTGAGTCAAGATGGCAGCTGGGACCAGAGACAGAGCTACGGGTGGCGAGACGCGGTCGGCCTCTGCATGTTCTTGGAACAAATGGACTGAGGTGTGAGAGAAAGAGCCAAGAGTAGTGTCCGAGGCTTTGGGCCTGAGAAGCTGGGAGAAGGTCTTGTTCTGTCCCAGGGTGGAGAAGCCTGTGGGAGGAGTTGTCTTGGAGAGGAAAGAGTGAACTTGAACATGTTTAGTTCGAGGTGTCTGCTTAACACTGACGTGGAGACATAGGGCGAGCAGTGGAGTCCAGGCTTAGAGAAAGCTGGAAGGTCAGCAGCGTTGGGACAGTATGGAGAGCCGCGCACTGGGAGAGCTCACGCACCCCGGGAGTGAGAGTAGATACGAAAACGGTCTCAGGGCTGAGCACTGGGGTGAGTCAGCCACCACGTATTTGCCAAGGAAACAAGGAGAGAGAATGAACTGCAGGGAGGAGGAAGAGAAGCAAGAGCAAGTGGGTGTCCCAGAGGCCGAGAGGAGGGTATTTCAAGTTGGAGGGAGCGTCCATGGGTCATATGCTGCTGACTGGTCAAGTCCGCCAAGAAGTGAAAATGGGCTGCCGTGTAGGCACTGTCGGAGTCACTGGTCACTTTCACAAGTACAGTTTGAGGGAGAGGTGGGATCGAGAGCCTGAACAAACAGATTCAAAGAGAAGAGGCTGGGCTTCCCTGGTGGCGCAGTGGTTGGGAGTCCGCCTGCCGATGCAGGGGACGCGGGTTCGTGCCCCAGTCCGGGAAGATCCCACATGCCGCGGAGCGGCTGGGCCCGTGAGCCATGGCCGCTGAGCCTGCGCGTCCAGAGCCTGTGCTCCGCAACGGGAGGGGCCCCAACAGTGAGAGGCCCGCGTACCGCAGAAAAAAAAAAAAATTGAAAAAACAAAAATTGAAAAAAAAAGAGAAGAGGCTGAAATAAGGCCAGCCAACAGCTCAGGTGACAGCGTCCAGGATGAACATCTGGGGAGGGTGTCTGGACCACAACCAAGTGGTCTGGGGAGCAGGGCAGAGCTTCAGACCCCAGCAGGAGAAAGAGCGCAAGAAATACAGACTAGGAAGAAAGGAAAAGTCCAGAACATGGACGTGGAGAGCTGGACGGGGAGGAAGGCGTCAGCTCGGGGGCACCGTGGTGCCAGGCTCAGGGCGGCAAGACTCATGCCGGGTGGGGAGAGGACTTCGCCTCCCTTGCTGGGCTGGTGGGGGGGGGCAGGCCAGGATGGGGATGGGACCAGCAGGTGAAGGTCTTCTGTGCCTGCAGCTAAGCGGGCGGTGGTTCTCGACCTCACTGCACGTACATTACAGTGATCTGGGCTGCTTTTCAAAAATACAGAGCTCTGGTCCCACCTGTGAGAATCCCTGTCTGTCCATCCCGAATGGGACGTGGCCCCATTTTCAAACATCTTCCCAGGTGATTGTAATGTGCTAGCAGCTTCAGCTAATTCCTGAGTTTGGGACTGAGCCAGTGTGGGAGGCTCTTTGAGGCAAAGAGGGCCATAGGGAAGGTCAGCCCTGGCATTGGAAGGGCCGTAATTGCGGTAATCTCTCAAGGAATTTGTTGGCTTTCCTCAGAACAGCAATTCTCATAACATTTACCAAATTGAAAATCCTGCTTAATTCTGTAGGTTTACAGCTCCACAGAGGCTAGAAGAAAAACATCATTTGGCACCAGAAACACACTTTATTCTGCTGGTGCAGATAATTTTGCAAACTCTGGATACCGAGTTTCACATACTCTCCTGGAATTCCGATGCACTACGATCTAGAATGCAGAGAAACACAGTCACGGCAATTGCTCTTGCTGCCACCTGGACCAGGTGCTTCCAGAGACCCTCTTGGGTGTCTTTGCCCTCTCATTGTGAACTTCTGTGATGTTCTGGGAAGATGTGTTTTTTAATCAGCTCAGCATTTATTTCTTGCTTTGGGGAACCATTTCTATCCCATTATGTGCAGTTCAAATAGGTGGTCAATGACAACCGTTAACCCCACCTCTGCCCATCGAGACATGATCCAGGACAAGCCAGCTCTAGTAGCACAACCTGGAAGCAGTGATTGGCTCAAGAGGGAGGCATGGAGTTCAAAAAGGGCCAATCAGCATCGTTTTGGGAGGCAGTTACTATATGGATAATGGTGAAGTTCTTCCCGAAGATGCCAAGCTAGAGAGTGTGGGTCTGGATTTATCAGTTGCCATTGTTCTCACACTGTGTGGATGAAGAAGCTTATTTGTAGAGTAGAGCCTAACAGAGATGAGGTAGAGAAGGAGGGAGGGAGAGAGGGAAAGGGAGAAAGAAAAGATAGAGGGGCAGAGACAGAGATAGAGACAGAGACAGAGAGACAGTGTTCTGTCAACAGTATGTTTGGTCCCAGGCCTCCAGGCTCTGGAACTTTCAGTTCTGTGAGCTCTCCCTACACCCTTCCAGGGTTAAGCTTTTTGGAGCTGTGTTCTGTCTCTTGCAACAAGAGCATCTTGACTAGGACAGATGACTTCTCAGTTTCTCGTGGGCCTCAGGGGGTGGTGGAGGGGTGAGGGATGCACCGGAGAGTGAGGCAGGCATGGTCAAAGAGCTTATGAGGCAGCTGCCCCTGGGACGTCCAGGTGTCGGTCTCAGGGTCGTAGCAGTCGAAGGAGGCCGAGTCCTCGATGCTACAGTCCGTGGTCAGATGCCGCCCACCCGTCACGTAGAGCTTGTTCCCCATCACCGTGGCCCCGTGGTGCATCCTCCGGTCTTTCATGTCTGCGCATTTGACAAATTTGTTGGACTGAGGGTCATAAGCAAGGATCCTCCTTGTGTAACCTGAAAAACAAATGGCATATCGACAGGGTCAGTGATGCTTATTTGGGACTGGAGGTCAGCGGTCCAGGGACCTGTCTGATCTCTGTCATCGCCTAACCCTGAGGCTGGACTCTGAGCTAAAGCGTGGAATGTTTCCATAACCTGCCCAAGGTCTTGTGTGTGGCAGAGCTGGGATTTGGACCCAGATCCGTCTGACTTCAGTCTCTGCATCTTAACTCGAAGTGAGGGCAACACTTACGTCGTTTGTTCTTAGATTGAGAGCAGAGATTCCAGTGGCCTTCTCAGCCTCGTTAGCTTTTTCATCTTTCTCATATGCTCATCCAAGAGCTTTAACAATACCAAGATGGAGCCTTTGGGAACTCAGAAGTGGGTCCCCACGACAGCCCTATCTGGTGGGTACTCTTCTGATCCCCATTTTACAGATCAGCACACAGAGGCACAAAGAGATGAATAACTTGCCTAAGAGTGTACAGCCAGTTAGTGGCAGAGTCAGGATTTGAACCCAGGTCTATCTGACCCCCAAACCAGCTCTCTTAACCATAGTATTATACTACAATTACAGAGAAATGATCCCTTAGCAGCTAATCTTATTTACAACAGCAAATGTTTTTCTGAGTATTTGCCCCGGGTCTGGGATAGTGCTAAGTGCTTTAGATAGATGAGCACATTTTATGATCACAACTCTGTGAAATAGGTTCATTATTTCATTCCTTGTTTGACAGGGAGAAACTTCTGGAAGATAAAAGAGCTTTGTCAAGTCATCCACACTCCCCTAGTTGGATGGGTGTACTTTTATTTTTATTTTTTTTAATTTTATATGGGGGAATTGTTGATTTACAATGTTGTGTTAGTTTCAGGTGTAGAGCAAAGTGGTTCAGTTATGTGCTTTAAAAAAGACTGTCTTGGGACATCCCTGGTGGCACAGTGGTTAAGAATCCACCTGCCAATGCAGTGGACATGGGTTCAATCCCTGGTCCAAGAAGATCTCACATGCCACAGAGCAACTAAGCCCGTGCGCCACAACTACTGAGCCTGCGCTCCAGAGCCCGCGAGCCACAACTACCGAAGCCCGTGTGCCTAGAGCCCATGCTCCGCAACAAGAGAAGCCTCCGCAATGAGAAGCCCGTGCACGTCAACGAAGAGCAGCCCCCGCTCGCCACAACTAGAGAAAACCCACGCGCAGCAACGAAGACCCAACGCAGCCAAAAATAAATAAATAAATAAATTTATAAGAAAAAGAAAGACTGTCTCATAGAAAAACATCAGTGACCGTTTTCCCATGGGAGATGCCAAGTTCGTGTCCAGCCTCTCGATCTTCTGTTAAAACTCACCTCCCACGATGACAATCCGCTCCCCAAGTACCACGGCAGGGGCACATACATTCTTGATCATTCTCGTCTCCATTTTGAACCACGTGTTTCTGGAAATGTGATAAACCTGACAGAGAAATATAATCACTGCACTGCATTTTAAAGTGATAACGTTTTTAAAAGATAGAAATAGTAATTAAGAGGGTGAAGGAGCAGTGATTTCTCTTTCTTTTCACTTTTTTTTCCCAGTCCTTAAAATGTAGTTATCTTACTATCAGTAAACAAAATATAATTAAATAACAGAAAGAGTTAAGTGTTTGTAGTATGTGTTTGCTTACCTTGCTTGGCTCATTTCTTTCCTTTCAATGAGAAATGGAGCAACTTGGACATGCGTAAAACCAGTGATTTTTCAATCATTTTTATTTCTGGCTCATGTTTAAATTTCTAAATGTTCCAGCGTATCCGAGAGCCTCTTAAGGCCAAGAATAAATTTAGGGCTAAAAGAGGAAGGCTTTTGAACAACAGGTCATGCCTGAAAGTCATTAGAATCCTAGAAGAAAGTAAGCATGAGAAAAGGAAGAAAGAGCAAAGAGGTGGAGGCAGGAGTCCTTGGCCTTCGTCTGAAATGGAGTAGCAAATCATGATTCCCAGAACACGTGCTCCTGTTAGATCCCTCAGTTTAAAGTTTAAATGTCAAATGCCAATTAGTTCATTACTGGCAGAATTTAGCACAAGAGATATAGGCTGAAACGAAGGAACAAAATATTCCAATATTCTTGACTGGAAATTCTTTCTGTACAAAATATTTTTGCCACCATATTAAAGGCCTTTTACTTTATCATTTTACCAAATTTGATCTTCACAACCATCCTATGATGTAGATACCATTACTTCCCTCTATTTTCCAGATTAGACCATTGAGGCTGAAAGAGGTGAAATGACATGCTCAAGGTCACACAGCTAGAGTAGTAGAAGAGCTGGTCTGATTGAACCCAGAATCTGTGCCTTTATCCACCACACTCATGGCTCTGCTTGGGGCCATGGAGATGCGGCTTTTCTTTCTTTTTTTTTTAAATTTAAAAAAAGCATTTACTATTTTAATTTGCTTTTATTTCAGTATTAGTAGTGTTTAAAGATATTTGGTGATGGTTTGTATTTTTGGCCGTGCCCTGCAGCATGTGGGATCTTAATTCCCTGACCAGGGATCAAACCCGTGTCCCCTGCAGTGGAAGTGCAGAGTCTTAACCACTGGACTGCCAGGGAAGTCCGTTTTATAGATTTTTTAAATTGAAGTATAGTTGATTTACAATGTTGTGTTAGTTTCAGGTGAACAGCACAGTGATTCAGTTATATATATATATAACTGAATTCAGATTCTTTTCCCTTATAGATTATTATAAGGGATAGGTAGGTCCTGGTTCGTTACCTGTTTTATATATGTGTGTGTATATGTTAATCCCAATCTCCTAATTTATCCCCCTGCCACCCCAGCTTTCCCCTTTGATAACTATAAGTTTGTTTTCTATATCTGTGGGTCTGTTTTTGTTTTGTAAGTCAGTTCATTTGTATCTTTTTTTTTTTTTTTTAGATTCCACAGATAAGCAATGTCATATGATATTTGTCTTCCTCTCTCTGGCTTACTTAACTTAGTATGATAATCTCTATGTCCATCCATGTTGTGTGAATGACATTAGTTTATTCTTTTTTACGGCTGAATAATATTCCATTGTATATATATACCACATCTTCTTTATTCATTCATCTATTGATGGACATTTAGGTTGCTTCCATGTCTTGGCTAGTGTTAAGTAGTGCTGCAATGAGCACTGGGGCCATGTATCTTTTTGAATTATGGTTTTCTCCAGATGTATGCCCAGGAGTGGGATTGCTTGATCATTTGGTAACTCTATTTAAAATTTTTTAAGGAACCTCCATACTGTTCTCCCTAGCGGCTGTACCAGTTTACATTCCCACCAACAGTGTAGGACGGTTCCTTTTTCTTCGGTGTGGCTTTCTTGATGGAGGCTTTCAAGACTGAAGCCCTCTTGAAGTCTCTGTCAGTCCTTAAAGTTGGTGAAGCATAGAGGAGGCCACAGCTAGAGACAGGGGCAACCACAATGGCTGTCAAGCCTCATGGTTTCGTCTGCAAATATGTAGGAAACACTCTTTGGAAACATGAGATCCTTGGAGGAAAAGCAAACACTGCTTGCATTTTACTTGAGTAAATGGCTCCTGGCTTTCTGTTCTCTATTAGCTTTGGGGATGGTTTCAAAAATAGATTAAACATTTGTTCACAATCCTCACCATACCACCAGAGAGGATGAGGCAAGGACAACAAAGGATGGGCTTTGACCCATGGAGGAAGTGATACTTTGTTGTGGTAAAGGATTTGCTTAACGCCATCCAGCAATAGGGGTAGAAAGAAGGCCGGGTAGAAAGGTATGCATACACACACAATTTGCACAGTAACGCCATGGCAGCCTCGTCCTTAAAAAGAATGCTTGCGTGCAGATAAACCATCCGATGAAGAAATCTTTGAACCTATACTTGAAAATCTAACCTACCCCATCAAGTAACCCCAAGCATTCATCTTGAACGATATCTGAATGAGTACAATTTCCATTACAAAGCTAATGCTAAGTAGATAAGAGCTTCCAAATCAATACTTTCCCCATTTTCCCCTTCTCATGACTGCGGTGTAAAAGGATCACTCACATGTTAGTGTTTTGGGTTTTGCTTTTTGGCTATTTAAGCTTCTTGTTTAATCGTCCTAAGCATTTCTTGATGAGGTAGCTTAAAAGCTTTTTTGAGCTTTGTATTTATTCTTAGGAATCGGTAACAATTTTGTAATGTGAAATCGTCAACATAGTTGTTGACTTTATTTTGAAAAATAGTTTTTAAAAAATGTAGGAGGGCCTCTAGCTTTACCAGAAGCTCTTTATTACACCTGTGTTGTGTGGCCAGAGCGTGGAGGGGATCAGAACACGTCTCCCTTGGCTCAAGTAAATGAGTGGGATTTGGAACAGACTTAGAATCTGCCTAGATGGTCAGGGAAGAGTCGACAATATGGGCTGGAGAAGTGAAGGAGAGAGAAAAACAAGAAAAGGATTGCATTGAAATGATCACTTTTCTCTGTTTCCACTGGCACCAACTTAGTCTGAGCCGCCATCATCCCTTGCCTGGACCTCTAGAAGAATCTCCCAACTCTCCTTCCTTTGTCCACTCAGGCCTCTTGCAGTGCCTTCTCCACAAAGCGTCCAGAAGGAGATTCTAAATATGCAAATTTGACAACTTCACCGACCCTGCTGCTCTTAGGCGTGAACCCCAGTTCCTTGACAAGGCCTGGAAAGCCCTGCCAGGTCAGCCTCATCTCCACACTCATCCCCCCAGGAATGTTCTGGAATTTCTGTAGGGGGGTCTCAGGGGCAGCAGTCTGGTGGAGGGGGTTGCTTGCGTGGCTTGGGAAGGGGTCTGAGAGAGATTATGGGGGGACTGACCATCCCTAGCTCCGCCTTGGTGCACAGACTTGCTGCAACTTGGTCATGCTTTCGGCACCTCCAGGCGAAGGGCTGTGCCCCTTTCTGCTTCAGGGCCTTCGTGCCAGCTGTTCCCTTACCCGGGAACGCCACCCCTCCCTCAGCAGATGAGTGTGACTCCTGGTCCAGACGCAGGCTCATCTGCTCAGAGAAGCTGCCCGCCCATCTCTGTCCACGTCAGAGCCCTCTGTCCACCCTGTGCGTCCTCCTCCTCCTTTTTTTTTTTTTTTGGTGGTACGTGGGCCTCTCACTGCTGTGGCCTCTCCCCTTGTGGAGCACAGGCTCCAGACGCGCAGGCTCAGCGGCCATGGCTCACGGGCCCAGCCGCTCCGCGGCACGTGGGATCTTCCCGGACCAGGGCACGAACCCATGTCCCCTGCATCGGCAGGTGGACTCTCAACCACTGCGCCACCAGGGAAGCCCTCTCCTCCTCTTTTACTCTTCATCCTCACCTACCTTCTCTCTTCCTCTGCCTCTCTGCTCAAGTCAGCTTAAACCAACCTCACAGAGTTCCCTCCAAAGTTCCCTGAACCCTCACACCCTCCCTGATTCCCTCGAGACTGGTTTAGGGCACCCCTTATGCTCTTAGAGCACCCCTCTATTCAGCATCTGAATTGCAGTTGTCTCATAAGCTCCTGGAGGGTAAGTGGGATTTACTGCTCATGTCCATGTCCCCAGGGCCTTGTCTGTGGTTGGCACCCAATATAACTCCTCTAAATGAACACAGCAGCTCTCAGGGGCCTCCTTGATTATCTCTATGTATCACGTAGAGGCTTGAAGTTTTTCACATCTAGGTGAACTGCAGAGATTAGAACTTGTGTCAAGGTGGAAAACACCCAGTATTCTGACATTTTGATCTTTATTAATCACACTTCTCAGAGAGCTTGTTAGTGAAATTAGCATCTACCTATCATTTAAGGCAGGGGTTCCACAACCTGGCTGTGCCTTAGAATCTCCTGTAAACGTTTGTAAACAGTAAATGTCAAGACCCCATACATAGAGATTTTGATTCAGCAGATCTGAGGTCAGGTTCCTGGGGATTTGGTAACAGACTGTGGACCAGTGCTTGGGAGTCTTCTTTTAAGGCCTTACTGATTTTGGTTAGAAGCATCTGCAATATTCCTATAGGACTTCACTATCTGGCATTCGATGTGTTCTAGGTAGAACCTTTAGCTGTATCTGATGTACCTTTGTATGTATTAATCTTATACAAAAAGAATTCATAAATGGATAAAATCTGACTGAAATTAACCTAACTTCCTTCCTTCCTTCCTTCTCTCCCTCTCTCCTTTCTCCTTCCCCTGCAACTGACAAGCATGTATGTATGTGTATATATGTATGTGTTTGTGTATGCAGTGTACATGTACATATGTGTATATGTATATGTGTGTATATGCATGTATTTGTGTATGTATATATGTGTGTGTGTGCATGTGTGTATGTGTAGCCATGGTGGGAGGGACCATTTACCTGGATAAGGCGCACAGGGTTCTGCATGATGTCCTCTCCCCCAAAAAGGTAGAGTCTTTGGTCTTTCACGGCGACTGCAGGGTGGAGGACCCCCAGTGGCATGCTGGCCATCCTCTCCCAGACGTTGCAGATGCTGTCATATCTCTCCATGGAGCCCATGACCCCGTGTCCTTCTCCAATCCCCCCGATGGAGAAGATGAAGTTCTTGTGGGCAGTGCTTCTGTGGGAGTAGCGGGATGCCAGCATGGGCTGCCCCAACCTCCACTGATTGAATTTCAGGGAGAAGATGTAGACCTTGGGACTGGGCACACTGTTCCCCGCGTCCACCGCCATGCCTCCCAGCAGGTAGATGCTGTGGTGCAAGGTGACGGCCGAGGCCTTATACAGCCGGGCCGGGAGTTTGGCAAGGCTCTGCCATTGGCCGGTCTGTCCGTCGTACAGCAGGACGTCCCTGGTGGTCTGCTGGTTGTCCTTCCTTCCACCCAAGAGGATGAGGAAGTCTTGGTAAGAGTTTCTTGGGGGGACATGCCACAGAGGTTGGAGGCCCGGGGCACTGGTAGTGCTGTACGGAGAAAATATCTGCCTCTTGGCTGTCTCCAAGATGGTCTGGCAGGGGGGCGAGGACTGCAGGAGGGCGTCGTTGGCGATGAAGTGGTAGAAGAAGGCTGGGTGGACGTACTGCAGCCTGACCTGCTTGAACAGTTCCTGCATGTATTGCTTCCGGGTCTGGAGGTCATGCTTGATCCAAACCATGAGGGCCTCGAACACCTTCTCCTCCTCCGCACAGAGCCCGTCATCTCCCAGGTAGTCTATCAGTTCCAAGGCCCAGAGCTCCTTCAAATCAGCTGATGCGGCCACCTCTGGGAAGTGCGTCAGGGCCACCTCCCTGGCTTTCTTCCTGAGGGTCTCACAGCTGAAGATTTCAGAGAGTCTGATCATGCCCAGGCAGTTGCTGGGGGCCAGCTGGCTCTGGAGGAAGGAGGAGCAGGCCTCAAGCAGCCTGGGGTACTGCAGCATGGAGGCGGCCTCCATCAGGGGCAGGACGCCTTCCATTGTGATGTGTGCCTCGCCCGTGTACACATACAGGATGATCCGCTCCAGAGTTGTGGAGTCGAGGCCTTTCAGCTGGACTTTGGGCTCGCTGCTCTCCCGGAAGTTGCTGCAGAACATGGCCCGGAAGTAGGGGCTGCTGGAGGCCAGCACACTGCGGTGGCAGGGGATCTCCCAGGCCCCCGTGCAGATGCTCACGTCAGTCAGGATCCTGCTTTGCCTCAAGCCATTGAGCTGCCTCAACAAGTCAGAGGAGAAGTCATGGTCTTTGAAGAGCAGCCCATCTGGCGATTCCTCGTCCATCCTACAGAGATGGGGAGAAGTCCCGAGAGGGAGCACGTGCTGGAGGGTTTAGCTGCGGCGGTTCCAAGACTTAGAGCACCTATGTCCGTTCACCAAGACGCCTGTGGGTATTGCCAAGAATATGGCTCAGTGAAGACCAGAAAGGGAGACCACCTGTGGCGTGGGCCTCACAGCTGACACCTCTCTTTTAGGTTACGATTATTCTCAAAGGTAACAGGCAAATAGCATCTGCGGACAGTCTGAGAAAAACAAAACAAAACAAAACAAGAAAAACCAAAAAAAAAAGAAAAGGTGGTTGGATAAGTTGGGCAAGTTGAAGGTGGCAAATGGTCACGTGGTCTGAAATGTTAACCTGAAGCAAGATGACAGTCTGTGCATTTGACCAGCAGAAGTCTGTGAACCTTTCTCCAGCTTCTCAGCATGTCCGTTATTTAGTAAACTCATCTAAACATCTTTCTGGGTGTTAGTCATTCCCCACAGATGTCATTCTGGGGGTGTGGCCTCTGTAACAAGACAGAAATGAGGGATGAAAGTGGACCTTTGAGATTTTTTTTTTTCTTTTTTAAAGCATGACTTCACAGAGTCCTGTGGGTTTTGTTTTTAAAATGAGGTAAATAGAAAGCAGAGACCAAACAATACCCTGGACAGGGTTTATTGGATGACATCTGGCTGCCCATCTACCTGCAGAAGAATTAAACATTCGAGCTATTTACCTTGTTTTGCTGCAGTGACATCCACCGATACCTGGTCCGGCTGGTCCCTCCGGAGAGTTTCCACCTCTCGCTCCAAATGAAACCATAAACCCAGGCCTTTCCTTCAGTTGGCAAATAATTTGTCCTGGGAGAATTCTGGATTTGTTTATGCCGAAGGCACTTTCACAGTTTTCTAGACCTTTGTGAAAGAACTGCTGGGCAGGGAGACAGTGTATACATTCCAGGGCTAAGAATAGTTGCATATGTACTTTCCACTGTTATGACATGTGACTTTCCAGTTGCCTTTTGCAGCAACCCGAGGGCCTGCAGCGCTGGTGCATGCCCACATGCCTTGTTTCTTTGGCAAGTGTTTACATCGGCAGAAATAGATCTGGAGGAACGGCTTCTCTTAGAGAAGACTTTGCTGCCCACTTGGACACATCCCGAGTCCCTTGTCCTAAAAGTGCCTGGGAATTCTAGATGTCTGTAAACAGGTTGCCGTGACCTGGGGAAAGTCGCTGAAGATAGTCCTGGGCAAGTTGAAGGTGGCAGATGGTCACAGGGAAGCCAGAACATGGGCCCAAGGGTGTTGTTTAGTGGGTCTCTATTTCCTACTGTCTGCTGGCAGGATCGTTGCAGAGGGCTGAGAGTTCCTCCTCCAGGCTCCAAGGTGATGGTGTCTGTGATGAAACTTGTTTTAAATATTTGTGGAGCATCCCAGAGTTTCTAGCCGTGGGAAAGACCAAACCTTTATTGATCCTCCGTATGACGGGGGCTTCTGTTTTAAAGTGGCAAGGGCAGTAGTCTTGTGGGTCATACCTGCTTCTCACAAGACCCCTGCTGACTATTCATCAGTTAGTTTGTTATAGTTCAGGTTTGCTTTTCTGTTTTATTTTTCCATTTTCTCCCTTCAGGGAGGCTTGTGCTAGAGGAAGGAGGCAAAATATGTTGCTCCAGGAGAGGGGGGTGGGTGGGAGAGAGAGAGAGATAATGAAAGGAAGAAGAAGGAGAAGGAGGAGGGGGAGGGGGAGAAGGGGAGGAAGAAGAGGAGGGGGAAGAGGGGAGGGGGAGGGAGAGGAGGGGAGGAGGAAGAAGAGGAGGGGGAGGAGGGGAGGGGGAGGGGAGGAGGAAGAAGAGGAGGGGAGGGGGAGGAGGGACAGGAGGGGGAGGAGGGGGAGGGGCGGAGGAGGAGGAGGGGGAGGAGGGGGAGGGGGAGAGGAGAGGAGAGCAATGATGGTGATGGAGTAGGATGCAGCCTTCAAATGTAAGAGTTAGAACCATGATGGAGGGTTATAGAACAACCAGGATGAGCTAAAGGGACCCCAGGTCTGTTCTGCCCCTGCCTCCGGGGAGGTCCCGATTGAGGGTACCAGCAGTGAATGGCAGGGAAACCCAGCTTTCTCTCCTGCTCAAGTCTTGCTTGGACTATTGCAACAGCCTTCTGCGCTGATTTTCCCCTTGCTCCTGTCTCTCCCTCCGGTACATCCACCCCGTCACCACCAGAGTCACCCTGAAGAAGACAAATCAGAATCTGCCAGTCTCCACGTTCCCCCCACCACTGCATCATGCCCTTCAGTGGCTCCCCTGTCTGTAGGATAAAGTCCATACTCTTTCGCAGGAACCATATTGGTCTCCTGCCACTTCCCTGTCCCACTTATATTTTTCACTCTAGCTCCTTCAGACAACTTGCAGATCCTTGTATGTGTCTGGTCCCTGTTGGGAAGGCTGGGCTGGGCTGGCCTTTAGGGCACCACAGAGCATGGTGGGAGGAGGGGGAGTGTCTCTCATAGTGGCAGATCACAGAGTAGATCACTCCCAGAAGAAAATCAAGGTCAGGAAAACATCCATCCCATGTCGTTGGGGCCAGGCGCCTGGAGGCCGGAATTAGGAGCAAAAGATCTGAGCCAAGTGGGTCAGAGACCCTTGGAGGTACAAGCAAGGACCTGGAGAGGGCAGCTGGTTTGTACAGCTATCAGAACTGGTGACTGTTCTTGCACTTCTGAGCCGTGCTCGGGACATACGAGCAAGTAGCCAAATTCCTGAAAGGGCCTGAGGTCCCTCTGTTTGCGTTTCTGGGCCTTTGTATGTACTCTTCCCTTTGCTGTCCTTTCCATTTTCACTTCTGAACTACTATTCATCCTTCAAAATGTTATTTGTATATCAGCATCTCTGAAAGTCTTCCTCGACCCTCCCAGTACTCCTCTGTACTGTTTCCACACCCTCTGCACACTTCCAATAGTACATGCCTCATACCCTCATTGCAATTATGTTTGCCTGTTTGCGTCCCTCTTGTTAGAATGGAAGTGTCTGGACAGTAAAAACTTTGTCTTAATTGTCTCTCTGTCCCCAGCACCTAGCACAGTGCCTGACACATAGTGGGGGAATTATATATAGTTCCTGAATTGAGCGTAACAGAATGGAGACTAGGGAAAGAGAGGGAGCTCTGCTGGGTGGCCTTCATGCCCCACCTGCTGTGTAAGTTTAGCAGGGCTGCCGTGTACAGCTTGGTGCATGTCCATTAGACTGCAATGCAAACCGTGCTCTGGAGCAGCCCTGGATGTCCCTCATTTTGATCAAATCCAATAACATGATGAAGTGAAAAGTAAAATAATTGCTTTATACCACAGAGCAAGAGTTGAGTTCAAGGTTGGGAACTGAGCTGAGGTCTTCTCAACTCCAAAGCTAGTGCTTTAGCCCTTGGTCTCAGAGTCAGCACAAGGAAAAAATAACTTCCTTATTGTTCTGAAATGACTATATTATTTCTCTTCCAGCCAGTGGGCAAGCCAAGAGTTTGTTGTGAGGGCAACTAACATGGCTCCACCCATTGGCAGGAATCTTGAAGTTTCCCCTACGTTTTCTAACTAATTAGACCTTCTGGAATCCAGCCCTGTCAAGTCTTCAGACGAGCCCTGGTGTGCAGCCTCAATGTCTGACCAACTTTAATAAATCCTTTGGATTCTAAAGTTTAAAAAAAACAGGCCCCATTCCATTGGCCTGGCCTACTAGGAGAATTCTGGCTCTACATTAAACGTAAGGAAAAGACACAAATAATCTTGGTGTTTACCTCCTAGCAAACACACACATATAACACTAAGCCCAATCCAAAAAACGTATCTATCACCCACCACGTGTAACCCCAGCCAGCTACTTTCAATTCATGAATCTATTTGTCTCCCAAAGTTTTATGTTCTTTGTCTTAATTTTATGTCCTGACCTTCTCTGGGAGATGTCTTAGTTTAAGGTCTGAACATATGGGAACTTAAGATAAATGAGGACATTCAGCTCCTTACCTCTCCTTGTGATGAAAGTTGTTGTCATAAGGAGTCAAGAGTCAGGCTTCGAGGGCATGAAGACTTGGGAGAATCTTGAAACTTCCCCTCAGCATCTGTGTGGTCTTGGGCAGGTAGCTTATTTTTTTTGTTGAAGTATAATTGGTTTACAATGTCATATTAGTTTACCGCATGGTGATTCAGTATTTTTACAGATTATACTCCGTTTAAAGTTATTAAAAGATAATGGCTATAATTCCTTGTTCCATACAATATATCCTTGTTGCTTATCTATTTTATAATAGCAGTTTGTATCTCTTAATCCCATACCCCAAATCTGTCCCACTCCCCTTCCCCTTTGGTAACCACTTTTGCAGTTTCTCCATCTATTAAATGGGGATAACCTTGTCACAGAGAAATAATGTATGAGAAACATCTAGTAAAGTGCTGGCACAATGTAGGTTCACAGTAAATTTTGGTTAGTATTATACCATTACTCTGAAAATAATCTCATGAGATTCCAGTAGGTCCTGGTGCCCAGTTTTCAGCATCTAATTTAGTCTCCTACTCACTCTACCTGTTTCCTTTGCCCTGAGCAATTGCTATGTTCCTCATTACCTATTCAGCTTTTGGGAGTCCTGGATTCCAGTCCAGGCTCTGTCATGGACAGGCTGTGTGTCTTTAGACCAGTCACCTAACCTTTCTGTACTTTCTCACCTGGCCACGAAGATATGGGCAGGTGACTTCTGAGCTGTGCCTCTCTCAGCTCACCCTGTGGTTTGTGCCCTGAAAAGGCCAGAGAAGGGAATGCTAGGGGCTGAGCCTCAGCAAAGGGGCCTCCTCAGAGATTCTGCACATCTCTGGCCTGAAGCCAGAGGCTCTGGTCTGAACACCAGTCAAGCTGCCAGCTGGTATTCTTATTATTTTGCCCTTTTAAGTAAATTCAGAACGCCTTCAGTTTCCCCATAGAGTTTTGCATTGATATTACAGGCTGCTTGGACTCGGGAGGCCTCGGTTTCTTTCCTGTCTGGGTGAGCTGGGCCTGGATTCCCATGGAAGGGCAGTGCTGCTGGCTCAGGTCAGCCTCACGTCTGACAACTACAGACAAGGAAGCCACAAAATGTGCTATATTACACACGTCCAGTCCTCCTAAGACCCTTCAAGGCAAGGTGTTATTTCACACTAACCAGTGAACCATGGCTGGGACAGTTCCTAGGACCTGTGTTTCAAGAAGGGACATATGTACACTTAAAGGCTTTGGGACAGCTCCTTGAGACCTGGAAGACTGTCCTCTGATGGCATCAGAGTATCTCCACTTCCCACAGTCTGCAGGTGCAGGACAGAACTGAGGAGCAGACAAATACGGTTTCAGTGATCTGGGTCATCAAAAGCTGTAGGAAGGAACTTGCCCCTTCTATGTGATTTTAAAACTTTTCTGTGTCTGTGAGTGCCTGTCTATCGGCGTCTGTACCTATCTTTCTGGGTATGTTTGTTTAACCAGCTTGTGGAAAGCTGAATAAGGACTTTGTGCTCCAGACAATGGCCAAAAGGCGTCCTGCTCCTTGATTCTGGGGTTGCCATGACGACTGTCCTCTGAGAGCTAAAAGCCTAGCTAATTTTACTAGGCCAGTCGTGCAAATGACTGCATTCCCAACTCTTCCTCCATGCTGTCCCACTGCCAGAAAATATCTTCATATTTTCTTTCCCCCAGGGAGGGCAAGGGGGAAAAAAGGCCGACAGAGATGATGTCAGGACTGCTAGGGGATGGTTGGTACATAACCCGGCTGTCTGGTCCCACTTCTCCCCACAAACTAAAGTCTGACTTCATACATCATTTATGTCACAAATCAGCTTTCTGAGCTCTAAATCAAATCAGGAATAAAGAAATAATACGATCAAGGATACATTCTTTTTCTCCTGTTTTAGCACTGTGAGTCACAAAGAATAATACACTGCCTTGGCGTCTCTGCTCCCCCGGGCAGGCACTCCCTGATGGGGAGATAGGAATTTAGACAGGAACATGACTCTCCCTAGGC